ATGCAAGGATTACAAAGAAACATGATACTTTGGATATGGAGATTCTTGTAACTTCTGCATGACCGTGGGGATTACAAACCGGTATGGCAAATAGAGAAAGAATGTGAAGAAGCGGAAAATGTTAGGAAGAGAAATAATGCTATAGGAGTTGAGGATGAAGATGATGACAACGCTGACAACAGTGACGAAGAATAAGAAGATGCATTGTCTGTTGCTTGCTTCATTTGCAAAGAGCCTTTTGTTGATCCAGTTGCACCAAATGCAAGCATTACTCAGTCCCGGCCCAGCAATATTCAGTACCTTAGTGCAAAAAAAATATTTGGGCTTTTTATTATAATTTATGTTTTTTGTGAGTTTTTCATCAATTATATGCTATAATTTTTAATGTCTTGGGCTTTAATTCATATTAAAATTTGTTTTGGGGCTTTATTTAAAATATTTTTTAAAATAAATTGGACCTTTTTGTCCAAGGTTTTTTTACAAAATGTTGGTGAGCCTTAGGTCCAAGCACTTCTACCCTATCCACTTGGGCCGCGCCTCGCATTACTAATGTGAGCATTGTGCTTTAAAGGTATGATAAAGTTAGTTAAATCACAATTATTATGAATCTGTTTTTGGTCCGTGAGCCATATTTTTTTTATTTTATTATTTTTTTTTTTTTTTGAGGTGAGCCATTTTTGTGAAACTAAAGAGTTTGTTTATGTAATGAATAATGATGCAGCATCACACGAATAACAAGAAGTGCTTTGTGTGTAACCAACCAACTACAGTTATAAAAAAAATAGAAATGAAAGCTATATAAAAACCACAAGGTATGTTCTTATAAAATTTGATTTGTTGGGTAAATATAACTTTTTGATCTTGTTAATAACCAATAAAATGATCACAATCAAAAAAGCTTGCTTCCAAAATGTCTTGTAAGTTGGTTGTTCATCTAGCTTAAATCTCAAGGAACTTAAATATGATAAATCGTCTAATTCTTTTCTATCAATTTTCCTACTAACCCATCAAGATCCTAACCAATTACCATACTGGTTATTATTTTTCTTCTTTTGATTAGAGCACCACAATGATCATCATTTTAGGATCATCCTTATTTTTGTTGAATCATGTATATGAATGTTTGTTAACCCTCTCCATATAAAAAACAAGAATCTGTTGACAAAAAAGAAAGTTAGCTAAATGAATCATTCAGTGTATCAAAATAAAGAGATAATTTTTTCTACAAATAGCTAGCATATAATCATCAAAATGCAAGAATGAGATATTTACAAATATTTTTCAAAAATAATATATCTTATCACGACACACTAGTGAGCTAAAATCCATAGATATATATACACCATCAGTAATGGTCCATATATCACCATGCGAATGCATTACAAAAACAAAATTTAATGTAAAGTGATGAATACCAGGTTTACATGCAAGCATTTTCTTTTTCCCTAAGGCGAAGGTGATGTTATTGAAGTGTTGGAAACTATATATGTAATGATGAAATTCTATTGAAAAAACGAAAGGATGATGAAACGCATCGGCTACCGCAATTATTTCAGATTTTAAGAGTTAGATAATTTAATAATTTTTAATTAAAGAAAAAAATATAATTTAAGAAATTTATGATGATGACGTAAATCAGCCTTTGGAATGATAACATGGCATTAATATGGAAAGAGTTAGCCAATTTTCATATATATGATTTTCATTTTTACGAAATAAAAAAAAACGAATTTTTTACGTATCCTTTCGTTACGGCACCTAAACCAAGTTTTTTTTTTTTTTGTGATTTCTTATGAACTAAATCATAACATAAATTTTAAAATACCTTAGAAATCTTATTATTATTATTATTATATATTATATTATACGACTCAACGATACAATAACACAATGCATATTGTTTGGTGTATCACCAATTGAATTGCTTTTGGTATTTTTGAATAGAAGCGACATATAGGTAGAAACCATCAGGATTGATTTGCCATAGACATAAACCATCGGTTTTGCATCTTGATTTGTCTCTATTAAGATCAAAGATGACGAAACTACTCTTTCTGGCTCCCGATGAGATGTCGCAACTCCATTTAACTGATTGGTTTGTGTCAAAGTGAAAATCGAAACTCGCACCTCGAGATAACACCGTGGACCAAGTGTCTCTTTGGGGCGAGATGCAGCTTATGGAGATTGGATTAGAGCCAGGTGCAAGGGTGTTGCTTATCTCTATGGTGAAGACTTGAGCCGCGAAAGATAACGAAGAGGTTGTGATCAAGGCTAAGGCTAAGGAGACCAGGAAGAGTCTATATGCTTTGGTGGATATCATCTTTTGTTTTACACACTATATCTATATTCGTGTGAATCATCTATATAAGAAAGTTATTTGACTCACAAAGTAATGATCTTACCATATATAATTATTGTAAAAAGGAAAAATAGTCAAATCAATAAATTAGTAACTAAAAGTCTAAAACTGATTCTTAAAGAGTCAAATTAATTAGAGGGAAAAATACAAACCAGTTTTTGGTAGATTAAATAGTCAAATCAATAAATTAGTAACTAAAAGTCTAAAACTGATTCTTAAAGAGTCAAATTAATTAGAGGGAAAAATACAAACCAGTTTTTGGTAGATTATTAAAAAGAAAAAAATGAGACAACTCAATAAATTTATCAAAAGGAAATTAATAAAACACAAACTTAGGAGGTGTTATTGGTTTGTGATTTAAATAGAGTTTTAGTGATTTTAAATGTTATGTATAATCTCTTGTTATTCAATCAAGATTTTTTAAAAGTTTGTTAAAGTTTGGTGTTATTAATTTAAGATTTGTAAAAAGTAATCTAAAATCTTCATAAATCTTGAGTTATTGGATTGATACTTTTATAAAGTCATTAAAAGTTTTGTGTTATTCTATTAAAACATTAGAATCTATGATTGTTAATGAATTAAATTATTATGTTATTGGTTTATGAAAAGTATCATCAAAATAGAGAAATTGTTTGGGAAACTTTACAAGATTATGAAATACTAATCAGCAAGATTATAGAAAACTCTAAAAAACTCTCTAGCAATAGTTTATAATCATTCATTTGTTTATTTTCTATGATTTTATTCAAAATTCTTTGTAAATTAGGAACCAATAACACCCCCTTAATTAATAGACCATCTCGGCAAGAAGAATGTCAGTCTGAACAAGGTTACATATACTTTCTACTTTCTTCTCTCTAGATTTTGAACTTTTTCTTCTTCTTCTTCTTCGTTGTTAGATAATATCCTTGTTCTGTTGTTTCAGTTTTCACTTTCTTCAAGAAGCTATCAAAAACTAAAACCATAAGGAAAAGAATGCTTGACGCAGATGAAGAAGACGCGGAGTTTCAAAAGGCGAAAGCTCTATATTACAAAATCTAAAGAAAGTTGCGAAACCCGATACCAAGTTATTCGTTTCCTCTAGACCAACTAAGAGCTCTACTACCAGCCAGATATATGCAAGGATTACAAAGAAACAGGATACTGTAGATATCGAGATTCTTGTAAGTTCTTGCATGACCATAGGGATTACAAACCGGGATGGCAGATAGAGAAAGATTGTGAAGAAGTAGAGAAAGTTTGGAAGAGAAACAAAGCTATGGGAGTTGAGGATGAAGATGATAACGACACTGACAAGTGACAACAATGACGAAGAAGCCCTTTGTTTGCTTCATTTGCAAAAAGCCTTTCGTTGATCCAATTGTCACCAAATGCAAGTACTTTTGTAAGCATTGTGCTTTAAAGGTATATTGAGGATACTTTTCTCTTATTCTCGGAGATTCACTAAATATTGTATTGTTTCCTTTGTAATTATCTTTTCCTTTCTTTACACTCTAGGGTTAATCACATAGCTTGTATAAATAGGGATCTCGACATTGTGAATAAGATGAGCCGAATTATTCTTCTCTCTGTTTTGATATGGTAGCAGAGCACGATAAAATTCTTTGAAACAAATCTCTTTCTCTTTGCCTCTCGGCATCTCTCTGTTCTCTTTTGCCTCTCGGCATCTCTCTGTTTCTCTGATTTTTTTTTCTGTTCTCTATTCTCGACTCTCGTCGATTCTTCTGTTTCAACGATGGCTTTAGCAACCACCGGACTAAAGCACAAGACCATCTCTCCTTATGACCTCTCGGCTAATGACAATCCTGGAGCAATCATCTCTCAACCTCTCCTCAACGGTCTAAACTATGATGAATGGGCTCTCAATTTCCGGATGGCTCTCAGTTCCCGGAAAAAATTCGGCTTCCTCGACGGAAGTATATCAAAACCAGCGGCGGCTTCTCCTGAACTTGAAGACTGGACGGCGAACAACCACTTGATCGTTGGTTGGATTAAACAGACAATTGAACCTAAAATTCGATCTACCATCTCGACCCGTGAAGTAGCAAAAGATCTGTGGGACATTATCAAGAAGAGATTCTCAATCAAAAGCGGCGCTCGTCTTCAACAGCTAAGGAACTCTCTGGCCAATTGCAAGCAGAACGGCTCAACCGTGGATGAGTACTTCGGGCGTCTTACCAAACTATGGGATGGCATCTCTGATTGTATGAGCTCTAAGCGGTGTAGTTGCGGCAAGTGCGAGTGTGATCTCAACACAGCTCGTGACAAGGAGCTTGAAACACTCCGAATTCATGATTTTTTAGCCGGCCTCGATGATTCAATCCATGGTGTTGTACGTTCCCAGATATGCGCTATCTCTCCGCTTCCTGACCTTGATACGGTCTATCAAACCGTGTCTCAGAACGAAACCATCCGCTCCACTGCAACTACCGAAGTCCCGGTCATGGGATTTGCTGCTCAGGTGCCTTCTTCCCCACATCCAGGAACAGTTCAGACACGTGACCTGACTCGACAATTCACGAATTATGCTGGTGGCTCTCGGTTTGTTCCAGGTAACCGTGATCCCAACCGTAAGTGCACAAGCTGCGGGCGCATGGGTCATGAGGCATCATCGTGTTTCAAAGTAGTGGGGTACCCTGAATGGTGGGGTGATCGACCTCGTAACAGAGGTGATACTCGCAGCTCACAAGGATTCTCAGCTGGTCGTGGTCGTGGCTCCAATCCACGAGCCAATGTCTCTCAAATTGTCACCGCCAATGCTGCTGCTATCGATTCTTCGGAGATTACGGATAGTGATCGACAAGGTTTAACCGGTCTCTCCGACGATCAATGGAAAATTGTGAAGAAAATGATCAACACCGGGAAAGCATCAGACCAATTGAGTGGTAAGAAATCTGATATCTCCTGGATTTTAGACACCGGAGCAACTCATCACATGACGGGTCGCAGCGATTTGATGATGGATATTCGCGATATTGCTCCGGTCTCTGTTTTATTGCCTGCGGGTGCGGACGTGATGTCTACTAAACAGGGGACCGTCCGCCTCACGCCAACTCTTTCTCTTCATAATGTTTATTTAATTAATGGATTTCATACGAATCTGATTTCATTTGGTCAGCTTGTGACGGATAATTTCCTTGTGGGACAAGTAACCGATAGACTTATGATTTTGCAGGACCGCATTACGAGGACGCTGATTGGTTCGGGTGAAAGAGAGGGAGAGGGATTGTACCGGTTTCGCGGGATCAACAGTGTGTCGTCTATGCAAGCAAATGTTCGTGATGATTCAATCTTATGGCATCATCGTCTTGGACATCCTTCGTCTCGCATTACTGAAATGATTCCCAGAGTTAGTAGTCTACTTAATAATCATAGTGAGGATTTAATTAAGAAGTGTGAGGTCTGCTTTAGAGCAAAACAAACTCGTCAATGTTTTCCGGATAGTTCTAATAATGCAAAAGCTGTTTTTGATTTGATTCATCTTGATTTATGGGGACCATATCGTACAACCGCGTTCTGTGGATCACACTACTTTCTAACTATTGTTGACGACTACTCACGGGCTGTTTGGCTCTACCTTCTTCCCGATAAGACGCGTGTATCCCAACGGATACGGGATTTCTTGGCCATGATTGAGAGGCAGTTTAACAAGCGTGTAAAATCAATACGAAGCGATAATGGGACGGAGTTCATGTGCCTTACTCGTTTTTTTCAAGAACAAGGGATTCTCCACGAAACATCTTGTGTTCATACTCCTCAACAGAACGGTCGCGTAGAACGCAAACATCGACACATTCTCAATGTTGCTAGAGCGTTGCGTTTCCATGCCAATCTACCAATTGATTATTGGGGTGAATGCATTTTGAATGCGGGGTATCTCATCAATAGGACTCCTTCGATTTTGCTAAATGGTGAAACTCCTTTTGAGAGACTGTACGGACACGCTCCATCTTATAGTCATTTACGAGTTTTTGGTTGTTTGGCTTACGCTCACAACATTGATCATAGAGGCGACAAATTTGCTACACGTAGTCGACGTTGTGTTTTTCTGGGATATCCGTATGGCAAGAAAGGTTGGAAATTATTCGATTTAGATCGGGAGATATTTTTTGTTTCGAGAGATGTTGTGTTCCAAGAGGATGTTTTCCCGCTTTCAGCTAAGATTTCATCTTCTGCATCACCAGCTTCGGTTGTTACGACTCCTGTGAGTCATAATAATTTACATGATGATGATCCGATAGCTTTCATACCGGCTGGTGATGTTCATGGTAATGATTCTGGCCCGTCCGATCCTATTCTCGTTTCACCACCCACATCACCACGGTCTCCTTTTCCTCAGAACAGTCCCGCGACCAAGCTTACATCCCCGGTTCAAACTACACCGGTGATTGAAGACGTTCCTACTACTTCCACTGTTGAAGAGCTTGGTCCAGGAAAAAGGAAAATCACTCCGAATGTTCGTCTTAGTGACTATGTGGTTGGTACAGCTACGATTACTCCCTCCTCCTCTCTCTCTCCATTATCACCCGTTCCTCAGAAATCCTCAGGTGCGGTTTATCCAATTTCTGATTATGTCTCTTATGAGCAATTTACTCCACAACATAGATGTTTTTTAACAGCTCTATCTCAGAACATTGAGCCACGTTCGTTTCGAGAAGCTATGGCTTATGAGGTTTGGCGGAATGCAATGGGTTCCGAAATTGATGCTTTGCAACGCAATCACACCTGGGATCTTGAGGAACTTCCACCTGACAAGAAAGCTCTAGGGAGTAAATGGGTGTTTACTATCAAATTTCACTCCGATGGTACGATAGAAAGACACAAAGCAAGGCTGGTTGTCCTTGGTAATCACCAAACGGAGGGCATTGATTATACGGAAACCTTTTCACCGGTAGCCAAGATGACTACGGTACGTATGTTTCTTGATTTTGCAGCAAAGAAAAATCACGAGGTTCATCAGATGGATGTTCACAATGCTTTCCTCCACGGTGATCTTCATGAAGAGGTTTATATGAAATTACCTCAAGGGTTTTCTTCTCCTAATGAGACACGAGTATGCCGCCTCCGCAAATCGCTT